TTAGAGTCTAATAATCGATTTAGGAGTTTGTCAAATCAAAATTATATTTAATGAACGTTTCAACCATGACTGGAACGTATGTCTACGTGTTAATGTGCAATACCGAAGCGGTTTAATAATTTTATTTAATAGGTTTTAATATAATATAATATTATATGGCTCCCTATTACTCACTATTACATTATGTTGAATGCTCCCCGGCTTTTAAAATTGTACAAAAAATATGTATGTACTTTGTAAATATAAATAATAATTATTGGACATTTTATAAAAAAAATTTAGAAATTTTATGCAACGGCAGTGAATACGGTTAAGGAGCATATTTTGGTATCATCGGAAACATCTGAGTATACATTGGTATTTTGTGCAATTTTCAAACTACGGTGTGCCTAACCAAAAAAGTAAATTATATTTTTTTTTTTTATATTCATACCGAATTTGGTAGGTTTGAAAATTATATAGAGAACTAGCGGCCGGCGAGTAAAAGGAAATCGCAAAGTTTTTTCAGGGTGGTCACAGATTTCAAGGGGGGTTAACTTGCAGTTTACCGAGTACAATGTATAATAATATAATATACTTTTTTCATGACCATCTGACAAGTTTGTAACAGCTCGGCTGTAATTAAAATGTTGTTATACTACTCCTATAAGCAAAAATAGAAAAATGAATTTCTATAGAGTCATCTAATAAGGGTATGCTTGACTATCAGCTTAAGACCTTAGCTGTAGAGGTGGTCTGAACTTGCAAACAAACGGTCACAAAACCTCTAATACCTTATAGTATTTAGTCGTTTCAATTTAAGACGCTATAGTTTGCGAAACACTTGTATACACAAACAAATTTTTGTCTTTGATTTTTTTGAGAAAAACACCCAAAAATTGTACACATTTTTCGATTTGAAATAATTCATATAGACCTGTGCCCCCTCTCCCCCTATGGTGCTTCAAAAATGTTCATGCCCTATCTCCACTATACTGGCTTTTCTATTTTTTTTTTTTTTTAAATGAAACTTGCTGTTAGGCGAATACAATATTAAATTTATATGAAATCACAAATTTTTATGTCGTTGAATATTCAAATAATATTTGCAGTCGCAAAAGAATATATCGAAACATCTGTGTGAAAGAAACCGAAAATATGATGCCACATTCGAAAATGTTGTCAACGTACGACTTTGATATGACCTTTGATTTTTTTAACTTAATATAATAGCTGCACACGCTTAAACGAAAGTACAAAATTTACAGGCTATGATTTTATACATTGAAAATTCTAAAACGATATTTATTTCAAATAATCAGAGAACAACATTATTGATTATACAATTTTGATCTGTGTGATGGATTGCCATAACACAGAGTGATCCAACTAACGTAAGACACTCATTTTCTCTGAAAATATGAATATTTTGACAATTTTATTTTTCCTAAACTTTTAAGTTATAATAATTAGTATTTTTTTTCGGTTTTCCAAAACCGGTAGCGTATAATATTCATAATTATGTTCGAATTGTCCAATTGGCGATAACATTCTAACAACTAGGTCCTAGGAAGTCGCTATATAAGATTTTGAAATAATGATAGACAAACGGTTCTTCTCTACAGACTACGTCTTAGATTACAGGTTGTTTATTATATCTGATTATAGTGATCAGAAATCGTACTAAAATTTTACTAATTTATATAATTAAAAACATATGTTGCCCTTTAAAAAAACCAAAAAAAACCCCTTTTTGGATTATAAGGTTTGGTGATGAAAATTTCCAGAATATTGAAAAATTTAGTTAAATATGTACCTAAAAGTTCCGGAAAAATAAAATTCTCAAAATATTCATACTTTTAGAGAAAATGAGCTTTTTACCTTAGTTGGATCATACTGTACATGTACAATACTCAATAATTGGTTAAAAAAAAGCTCAGTGGAATCTGGGTAATAGCGGAAACTGTTAAAATGCTTAATTTGTATAAATTGTTTTAAATATCAGATAATGCAGCTAACATAATGTTTAAATTAGAATTAAAACTACGGTGTTTTTTTATACACAAAAAATAGTGGTGTTTTGTGATGTAAATTGTAAAAACATAATATTTTTACATTATGTTGAATGCCCCCCGACTTTTAAAATAATACAAAAAATAATCATTTGTAAATATAACTAATAAGTAGGTGTTGGGATTTTATTATAAAAACAAAATGTAGACATTTAATGCTATGGCTTAAGATATGCGGTGAATACGGTTAAAGAACATACTTTGGTATCATCGGAAACATCTGAGTACACATGGGTGCATATTTTGTGCGACTTTCAAACTATGGTGTGCCTAAGCAAAAATGTAAATTATATTTGTTTTTAAATATTCATACCGAGTTTTAGTAACAGGTTTGAAAACGATATAGAGATATTTATGGAGTATTGGCAATAACTCTGCAATAAGAGTTAACAAGGCAGAAGAAACTTCTTCTTTTGGAACCGGTGAACTTCGGCCGCCTACAATTAATTGCAAATAATAAAAAATAAATTTATAAAGAGTCCCAAGGATCTGTCTGACTTTTAGCTTAAGACCTTAGCTATATAGGTAGAATAAACATGCAAACAAATGGTCTTAAACTCTATCCCTTATAGTATTTATAATAATTAGCGATAATTTGTTTTTAATATTGTAGGCATATCAATTTGCTCGTGTGTCCGAAGCGTATACAATTATTGACCGATTATGTGCTCAAAAAAATGTGTTTATCAAGTTATTAAAGTTTAAAATTTAAGACGGGGGGTTAAGTGAGATAATAAGGACTGTAAATGTATAGTGCCTATTAGTGGTTATTTAGAAAATAAATGTATTTAATAAAGAATACATATTAGAGCTATTATGGCCATTGGGGTCATTTCTAAATAAGTTACCAATATACTTATATATTTATTAACAATCGATTTTAATTCTATAAATCAAATATTATAAAAAAATCGTCTCTATCGAGAAACGGATATCTCAAAAACACAGAAATAAAAGCCACGTCAGGGCATATTCTAGATCTACCTTCAGTCAAATGTTCAGACCGACATCCTTTAAGACTTAATTTGAAAAAGATTTGATAAAGAAAATAATTCTATCCTTTCTGGGGGAAATGGTTTAATATTTTTTTTTTTTGGGGTGAATATTTATCGATAGTACTGCGATTAAAGAATATTCTATACAAATTTAGAAGTAATTCGATTATTTTTTAAAAAGTTATAGAGCGCCATTATTTTGAAATGAACATTATATATATATATATTTATGGGATGCTTTTTTCGATTTTGAAGAGAGAGGGGTAAACTTTTTTATTTTTTCAACCAATAAGGGAACTTTAATTTAGGGGACGAATCACCTATACATACAATTGTTGCACGAAAAATTCGGTTTAGAATATATAGGGGGTCCAATATTTTTTGTACTTGGATATAGCTCATTCGTGTTCATTTAGTATATTTTGTAAGTACGGCAGTTTTCCATTCGAAATAATTTTAACCTAAGGCGTTACATACAGTTTGCTATAGTTTGCGAAACACTTGTGTACACAAAAAAATTATTGTCTTCGATTTTTAGCGTCGACAAAAATACCCAAAAAATTTCTTTCAAACTGTAATAATTCATATAGTCATGTGCCCTCTCCCCCTATTCCTCCCTATCGTGCTTCGGCAATGTTCATGCATTGTCTCCACTGTACTAACTTTTTTGATTTTATATATTTTTTTCAAAACCGAACAATATTACATTTATATAAATCGCACATTTTTATTTCGATTGGATGAGTCTATTCAAATAATACTCATGGTAGTCGCAAAATAATATAGCGAAACATCTGCGTGAAAGAAACCTAAAATATGGTGTACGACTTTGATACGACCTTTGATTTTTTTAACATATCTTGCTATAATAACAGGTGCACACAAAAACCAAATTTACAAGCTATGATTTTATACATCGAAAATTCTAAAACGATATTTATTTCAAATAATTAAACAACAACATTATACATGTTTTTTTATCTGTTTGTTGGATTGACATATAATATGTACAATACTCGAAAATTGGTCCAAACTAGAACAACATTTGTATGAAATATTCTTTAATCGTAGTACTATCGAAAAACATTGACAAACTAAAAAAATAACGCATAAACCCATTCCTTTAGAAGGGATGGACATTTTTTCTTTATTTCACTTTTTCAACAAAAGTTTTAGGGATTTCAAAAAAAAAGAATAATTTGACACACGATTTAAATATTTTATTTTATTTAACGTATTTAAAAATGACTAGTTAATTATTAGGTTAACATTACTGGCTGTTAATTATTAGCAACAAAAACAAACTGTACCTAGCAAATTATTTATAAAATTATTATACTCCGTTCTAAATCTAATTTACGGAACACCTAACCGGTAACTTGTTTTCTAACTTCAACTTGGACTTGATTAACTTAGCGAAAAACGATGAAGTGAAAATAACTTAAAGAATATGTATTGGACATGTCCCCGTCTACAAATAGGCTCAAATACAAATTTCAATAACCCTACACCCCCCGCCCCCTCCCGCATGAATAAAGACTGTAATAGATATTAACAACTTTTGTGCTATAGTAAGCTATTAAGCTACTATATTAAGTAGAAAGCTGAACCTGAATGTAATATTTCTTAAAGCAGAAATTAATAATATTAAAAAAATAAATAACAATTAACTATTAACGATTAAATTATTATCAATGCATCGAAATCTCTGATTTAAGTAAGCAGTGAAGTATTTATTTTTTTGTCCCTTAGAAAAACCGTTATTGTATATGATTTTTTGTCTAAAAATTCGATCAAAAAGTATGAAGCTCTAAGCAAATACATATTTTTATTTTATTAATTTCACATGTCAAATTTATATGAAATACAATGTTTATACAGTTCTACAGTCTTGAAAACTAATATTCATACCATGTATTTTATCGGTGCAACTTACTTAAAACCATCCGTATGCCCATAAGTTTGTATCATTCAATTGCAGACAATAGTTGCTTTTGGTTCTACAAGTACTAAACACTAAATATTTCAGTACAGTCGAATTGAACAGTATATTATAACAATTAATATGATGAATATTAAAATTATTCTTTTGCTTAGTCTGGCAGCATACGTGGCGTAAGTATTTTTTTTTTTTTTCAAAGCGTTTGGAAATATTTCACAAAATCTAGATTTTTTTGCATGTTACTTTATGTTTTAAAAATAAATGTTTGCTTTTCAGGTGTGGTGACGATGATCAGAATCTGCCAACAATAAGTAACTATATATTAAAGATTTGATACTAAAACAAAAATTAAAACTTAAAATTATATTTAAAAATTTAAACCAATTTAAAAAATTTAAATGGAACCCACTATTAGGTAAAATATAAACCATATTTTAAAATGAATATTTTAGACATTGTTAACTTTTTCAATGATTTTCAATAATTTGGTTGTACTCATGATTAATTTTTTCAATATATTTTTAATCATTGCCATTCATAGTTAATAATTTTTCTTTGTAATATTCGATTGATTTGAAAATGTAATTAATTACTATTAACTAAGTAGTTCTTGCGGAAACAAAAATAACCTCTTTAAAAAAAAAAAAATTGCTGTGCCCGTAAAAAAAATTATTCGCAGTCTTTTAGTTGCTTATTCTATTATTCATTGAACAATTAGACAAACCCTAAAATAAATGTTATAACTGCATAGACTTTGTAAGTTTTTTAAGTTAAATTAAATTATAAATATTCTCGTTAATTATACAAACATTTTTTATTAAGTCATTAAAAAGTTTATAAAATATACAATTTTTTTTTTATTACGATTAAAAAATTAACTTTATGTATTTAACTTAAATGAACAATTCCCAACTCTGCATGTCGGTAATTTTTTTTGAGAATAATCTACTGAAATATTAAACTGGTTGATTGGTTATATTAAATTTTAACGGTTAAAAAAATACTAAATTAACATAGCGTTTTTTTTTTAAATATTTACTGTTTCGTTCTTTATCCTGTATATAATAAAAATATCAAAACCAATAAAAACGATTAATAAATGAAATTCTAAACAGCACAAGCCAACAATTTGATACTGCATTATTGTGCTTGGTATCCGGGTTAAGAAGTTATTTTAATTTTTCCTAATTAAAAAAAAAAGTTTTGCTATAGGTTTTTGAAAAAAAGGTATAGATCTTCGCTGTCCAATTTTTTGAGGAAAAGTGCCTACCCTTTTTTTCTTATTTTTTTTTCTGTAGAGCAGTTGCACTATTAAAAAAAATATCCCTCACAATTATTTGGAACACTTTCAACCATTTTTTCCAAAGTCTATAATAGCATGCCGTATTTTCAAACTAAACTTTTTTTAAATTTGTCATGTATTTTTTTCGACTTTGAAGAGGAAAGGTTAATTTCTTTTTTTGGTTTTGAGTACGATTTATTTACTTATAGATTTCCTGCGTAAACTTTTTTTTGAAACTAATCTACAGAACATCCTAACTGGTCGATTGACAAATTTATAGTGTTTTAATCATTGTTATTCGTAGTTGTTGAAAAGGATACTTTTTTTTTTTTGTTTTGAGTACAATTTGTTATCTATTTTTTTTTTTGTAATACTCAATTAGTTAAGATAATTTATTTAATTGTTATTTACCAAGTAGTTTTGGGGGAAACTGAAAAACACTCCAAAATAAATTAATTATTTTTAAATCTGATATTTTTATTCAATTAAAAAAAATATTGTTACGGAAACAAGTAATACACAGTTTTTAGTTTGAACACTATTGTTCATTGAAAAATTTAATCAAATATTGCCTATCCTTTGCCCATTAACAAATAGCGCTTTCCGTTCTTTAAGTCACTAAAACCTTTATTCATTTGCACCTACCAAAAAATTAATTTTTTAATCATGACTAATTATATTGTAATTAAAATTATCATGATTTAATAGTGAACTTTATGTATTTAACTAAAACAAAAATGACTAAAACTGCATATCGGTAAGTTTATTTGAGAATAATTAACTGAAAGTTTAAACCTGTCGATTGGGCATATCATAATGTTGTAAAAAAAATTAACTACTAATTATTTACCATAAAATTTGTTCTAATATTTAATTTGATTTGATTTCTTTTTTGGGGGGTCAATAAAAAAATCGCAGAATTGTGCCGTTAACTTTTCGGTGAGATTAATCTACATCACATTTCAACAGGTTGATTGGAAAATTTGTAATGTAAAAAAAACAACTAATAAATAACTATAGTACTTTTTTTTTAAACACAGAACCAGTGAGAGGGAACTGTTTTTCACACGGCTTCCACTACTATAAGTACTATAGTACTACTTCCAACTTATAACGTGTCTATTGCAAAAAAAAAACATTTTAAGACCAATACCTCTTCAGCCCCGCATCAAAGCTAAAAATAATTGAATTAAACTGTTATATTTTATTATAATTTAGTCACGGCTACATTGCTTATAAGATTATTTTACTGATATTTCAGAAGGTGAAAGCTCTCGGGGTGCTGATGCTCAACGTGGTGATGGCATCGGGAGTCTTTTTTCGAGCGAAGAAGATGATGATGAATTACCGGACGATCTGTTTGACACATCAGACGACGGTAGGCCAATAAGCGAAAATAGCGATGATAAAGGTTATGACGAAGTTATGATTTATAATAACAGTGGAACAAATTCAATCAGTTTAAAAAAACTATAGCGTAACGTAATTAAAACCTGAAAATTTTCTACATTTGTAGTGTATTTTTCTCGATTTTTAAGAGGAAAGGTTAAATTTTCATTCTCGTTAAGCACCTCTTAAGTAAGATTTGTTATCTATAGATTTTCTACATAACTAAATCGGTTATTGGTGAGTCGAGATGAAAAAAAAATATATTTATTAGAAGACCTGTCAAATATACCTATTATTCATTTATATCTTTACACAACAAAATTTGTGCGATGTATTGTGTTAATTGATTTTTTTTTTTGGGGGGGGGGTCAATAATCGCAGAATTGTATCATTCAATTTTTGTTGAGATACTCTACATAACATTTAAACTGGTTAATTGGAAAATTTGTAATGTGAAAGAATAATTACTAATCATTTACTATAGTACTATTTCCAACATATAACGTGTCTAACGTAAAACAAAACATTTTAAAACCAATACTTCCTCAGCCTCCCATCAAAGCTAAAAATAATTAAATTGAACTAGTATATTTTATTATTATTTAGTGACGACTACATTGTTTATACGATTATTTTTTTTTAACATTTTAGACGATGAAGATTTTTTCAATAAATATTGTGAGTACTATTTCCAACATATAACGTGTCTAACGCAAAACAAAATATTGTAAAACCAATACCTCATCAGCCTTGCATTTAAGCTAAAAATAATTAAATTAAACTGATATACTTTATTATAATTTAGTGACGACTACATTGTTTAAACGATTATTTTTTTAACATTTTAGACGGTCGAGGTTTTTTCAGTTATGAGGGTGAGTACTATTTCCAACATACAACGTATCTAACGTAAAACTAATCATTTCAAAACAAATACCTTCTCAGCCCCACATCTAAGCTAAAAATATTTTAACTAAACTGGTATATTTTATTATAATTTAGTGACGACTACATTTTTTATAATATTATATTGTTAACATTTTAGACGAATTTGATGTTCAAGGTGGTGATGCTCTGGGTGGTAATCCTCAAGGTGATAATGCTCTTGGTGGTGATGCTCGAGTTGGTAAAGCTGTGGGTAGTAATGCTCAAGGTGGTGGATGCTCAAGGTGGTGATGGCATCGGAAGCGACGCGTGATTCTAAACGAAGAATTCGGTGCAATACAGGGAACAGGAGACTTCACGTGCTGATTGTTCATGAAGCTATAATTCTAAAATCAATAATAAATATTAATTGTATCTAAATTAAAAATTACAAACTGATTATATAAAATAAAAATTATAACTGTAATATAAAATTTGAAAATAAAAGAATTTACTATATTATACCGTATTTCATACTACTTTATTTTAGTTACCTATAAGCAAAAATTTTACCATAAATTCTTAAAACATCACACATAAAATCAAATTTATACAACAGAATTGGTAATTTCAAAAATGACATAGGCAGGTCAACGTTTTTTCAAAAAAAAAAAAATGCATTTGCTATAGTTTCATTCTAGATCCTCCCTCGGTCTAATATTCAGACCTAAATCCCTAAAATTTTGCTTGAAAATAAGAAATTAAAAAAAAAAATTCTGTCCCTTCTAGGGCAAATATGTAAAATGTTTTATTATTTTTGCAAATTTTAAGGGTAAGTGGTAAATTTTTAACAATTATTATCCAAAATAGACCTTACAGGTACGATTTATGGTAATTGAGTTGCTACCCGGAGATAACGGTTCAGTGGCTTAGCATGTATCGTGAGTACAGAAATGTAATATATTGTACACGGTTTTTAATCTAAGGTTATTCTAACTAATCAACAGTTTCATAAACTCCGATGGTCGGATTTTAAGATAACAGAGTTGTTTATTTTTTTTTTCGATAACTCTTGATAATATATGAAATTTGTACAAGCCGTCTTTTAGTTTCATATTTATTTTATGAATATAATATGTACGCAATAAAATTTAAAACATTTACAACTTCATATAAATGTAACATTTTACTCGCTTTACAGCAAAATATGTATTAAAAAAAAAGCACAATTAGAAAAGCCAGTATAGTGGTGACAGGGAAAAGTGTTATCCGAGCTTGAGAGAGCGGGAAAAGGGGGGCACAGGTCTATATAAATTATTTCAAATTGAAAAATGTGTACAATTTTTGTGGTTTTTTCTCGATATTAAAAATAAAAGACAACAATTTTTTTTGTGTTTATAAGTGTTCCACAATACGTTTTAAATTGTAACGATTTAAGTTTAAATTATTACGAACAAAAAACTGCCTGACTTGCAAATTAATAAAAGTATGCGCTATATACAAGGTATATTAAAAATAATTGCTAGATACTCCTAAACAGCATTTATTCGTACTTTGTGTAAACGCAAATGTGTATAATTTTTGGAAAACGGTGGCTTTGTGTACGTTGACTATGTATAGTTCATCGCCGTACACGACATTTTTATTTGCAAACCATATTTTGCGAAACGCGATGGAAATTAGAATTGAAACTACGGGTTTTTTTTATACACAGAAAATAGTGGTATTTTAGGATGTAAATTGTAAAAACATAATGTTCTTACATTATGTTGAATGCTCCCCCGCTTTTATACAAAAAATACAAAAAATATGTATGTAATTTGTAAATAAAAAAAAAAAATTTAGAAATTTTATGCAACGGCGGTGATACGGTTAAGGAGCATATTTTGGTATCATCGGAAACATCTGAGTATACATTGGTATTTTGTGCAATTTTCAAACTACGGTGTGCCTAACCAAAAAAGTAAATTAAGCTTAAGCCTTTAGCTGTAGAGGTGGACTGAACTTGCAAACAAACGGTCACAAAACCTCTAATACCTTATAGTATTTAGTCGTATCAATTTAAGACGCTATAGTTTGTGGAACAAGTGTATACACAAACAAATTTTTGTCTTTGATTTTTTTTTAGAAAAACACCCAAAAATTGTACACATTTTTCCATTTGAAATAATTCATATAGACCTGTGCCCCCTCTATGGTGCTTCAAAAATGTTCATGCCCCATCTCCACTAACTGGCTTATCTATTTTTTTTTTTTTTTTTAATGAAACTTACTGTTAAGCGGATCCAATATTACATTTATATGAAATCACAAATTTTTATGCCGTTGGATGAATATTCAAATAATATTAGCAGTCGCAAAAGAATATATCGAAACATCTGTGTGAAAGAAACCGAAAATATGATGCCAGATTCGAAAATGTTGTCAACGTACGACTTTGATATGACCTTTGATTTTTTTAACAAGCTATTATAATTGCACACGCGCTGCACACGTTTAAACGAATGTACAAAATTTACAGGCTATGATTTTATACATTGAAAATTCTAAAACGATATTTATTTCAAATAATCAGAGAACAACATTATTGATTATACAATTTTGATCTGTTTGATGGATTGCCATAACACAGAGTGATCCAACTAACGTATGACACTCATTTTCTCTGAAAACATGAATATTTTGACAATTTTATTTCTCCTCAACTTTTAGGTACATATATTACTACATTTTTCAATATTTTGAAAATTTTTATCACCAAACCTTATAAGCCAAAAGGGGGAATTTCGGTTTTTTTAAATGGCAACATTTGATTTTAAGTTATTAAAATCAAATTTGTGTTAACAAATTTGTAGACAAAAATTTTAAAAATATGTTAGCGTTTGAATTTTTTATTTTCATTTATCTGCTCATTAGCTATGACTTTGTAAAGATACTACATTTCCTCTTAATAATTATTATATTTTTTCGGTTTTCCAAAACCGGTAGCATATAAAATTCATAATTATGTTCGAATTGTCCAATTAGCAATAACATTCTAACAACTAAGAAGTCGCTATAAAAGATTTTGAAATAATGATAGACAAACGGTTCTTCTCTACAGACTACGTCTTAAATTACAGGTTGTTTATTATATCTGATTAGTGATCAGAAATCGTACTTGTAAGGTACTTTACTGGGTTAATAACTACAAAATTTCACTAATTTATATAATTAAAAACATATGTTGCCCTTTAAAAAAAACAAAAAACCCTAAGGACTTTAAGGACTTTAAGGCCCCTAAGGCTTATAAGGACTGGTGATAAAAATGTTCAAAATATTGAAAAATGTAGTAAAACATGTACCTAAAAGTTTCGGAATAATAAAATTCTCAAAATATTCATACTTTCAGAGAAAATGAGCTTTTTACCTTAGTTGTATCGTACTGTATATGTACAATACTCAATAATTGGTTTAAAAAAAAGCTTAGTGGAATAGGGGTAATAGCGGAAACTGTTAAAATGCTTAATTTGTATAAATTATTCTAAATATTAGATAATGCAGCTAACCGAATGTTTATTTAATCACACTAATTGTCTGGCAGAATCAAATACAGTATATATTGTATATATGCATATATTATGGTACCCATAGTTATTGTCTGTGATTTTGAAATACATAATCTAATATTGCGATAATTTACTTTTAAGTTTAAAAAATAACATAAAATAGTAAACAAAAATCACCCCTTCTCCCTTAAATTCGGGAAAACCCTAAAGAATTTTCAAAGTTGAAATATTTATTAGGCATCATAATAAATTAACAAATAATTTCACTTAAACCAACCCCGTCATTAATTCCTATACCTGTAGGTTCATATTTGACTATACCGAGAAAACTTTTCCCCTAATTCCTAGTTTGTACTTCGTTCCGGAGTTAAAAAAAACATGTCTCTTCTGCCTTGTTCTTAATCCATAATCGGCACGAGTAACTTTATTCACGCTCACTTAGAGTATATTATACATTATGCAAATTGATACTGAAATGGTACTGATCCCGTCTCCATTAAATAGTTTGAAAAATAATCGCCAACATCAATACCGTATCACCTTACAATAATTCGTTATACATTTTTTATTAAACCCCATGAAATTTTGAGAGCTCCACTTAAATACCTACTTTTATTATAAAGATCGTGCTAATTTTATATTATTCCACTACTACAGCTAAGGTCTTGAGCTAACAGTCAGATCGATCCTTAGGACTCTTTAGAAATTCATTTTTCTATTATTTGCAATTGTAGGTGGCCGAAACACCGAAAAAACATGATTCTTCTGCCTTGTTAATTCTTATTGACGAGTAATTGCTAATACTCCATAAATGGCCGCACCTAAAAATTTAAAAGTATTTTAACTGTTACTTAAACAGTCGATCATAATAATATTATGTACCAACTTTGCTTGGTTCAGAGTTCAGACTGTACTTAACTTCAGTTTTAATTTTAAAAAAATTGGTTGAATGTTCCATGTAAATTCGATGGTAACCGTTTAAAAAATGCATTGACCTTATTCCAGACTCCGCCGACGAGTCCAATTAGAATTCCAGTATTTTAAGTAAATCCTTCAATTATGATATATATTCATTTTTTATTTGCATTAGTGTTTGTGAAACTATAATTAATCATATGATATCTAAACCTATCGAGCGTATAATAACATATTTTGAAATTAAATAAAATTATAAATATTATTGTAGAATTGTTCAAATATAATTTTTTAAGCCACTAAAAACGTTTAACTTGCTATAACTTGGCGAAAAACGGTCGGATATAGTTAAAATTTGCTCTCAAACCCAAAATTGACAATCCCTCGACCCCTAGTGTGGGGGTTAGAATTTTTATAGTTTTTTTTAATTTTAAGTAAAAGTATTTTCTGTGAAGTATTTTTTTTTTGTCTCTTAGAAAAACCGTTTGCGTACGGTTTCTGACTAAAAAAATATAAAGCTCTAAGCAAGTACATATTTTTTATTAAAATAATTGCACGTGTCAAATTTATACGAAATGTCATGTTTATACAGTTGTATTGTCTTGAAAACAAATATTAATGTGTATTTTGTCGGTGCAAATTAACTTAAAACCATCCGTATGCCAAACTTTGTAACATTCAATTGTAGACAATTACTGTCTTTGGTTTTACAAGTACTAAAAACAATAAATATTTCAGTACAGTCGAATTGAACAGTATATTATAACAGTTAATATGATAAATATTAAAATTATTGTTTTGCTTAGTCTGGCAGCATACGTGGCGTAAGTATTTTTTTTTTCATTTTTTATTTAAAGCTTTTGGAAATATTTCACAAAATCTAGAGTTTTCGGGTATTCATTTTTTGTTTTAAAATAAATGTTTGCTTTTCAGGTGTGGTGGCGGTAAACAGACTCCGCCAACAATAGGTAAGAGATAATATATTTTTTAATCATTGTCACTCGTAGTTAATAATTTCTCTTTGTAATACTCGATTGATTTGGAAATGTAATTAATTTGTATTAACAAAATAAACCTACAGATAAAAATGTCTTATTCATAAGTCTGATATCTTTATTTATTAAAAAAAAAAATTGCTATTCTCGGAAAAAAAGTTATTCGTAGTCTTTTAGTTTTTATTCTATCATTCATTGAAAAATTCGACGAACCCTTAAATAAATGTTATAAATGCATAGACCTTTTAAGTTTTTCAAGTTGAATTAAATTATAAATATCACTATTGATTTGTACATAATTAATTTCTTAAGTCACTAAAAACTTTTATATCGTGTAACTACAAAAAAGTTAATTTATTTACATGACTAATTTTAAGAGTTAAAATGTATGTCTAATTTTATATTTTATTACGGTTAAAATAATAATGATTAAAAAATTACTAAATTACATAACCTTTTTTTTAGAAATATTAACTGTTCAATTCTTTATCCTGTATAGTATACAAAAAACATTGAACCAATAAAAACGATTTATATATGAAATTCTAAACAGCAAATTGATATTGCATTATTGTCCTTGTTACGAAGTTCTTTTAGTTTTTTCCTAATTGAAAAAACAAAAAAGTTTTGCTATAGGTTTTTAAAAAAAATAATGGCATAGATAACGCTGTCCACCTTTTTGAGGGAAAGTGCCAACCGTTTTTTCTTAATATTTTACTATAGAGCACTATTAAAAAAAAATATCCCTCACAATTATTTGAAACACTTTCAACCATTTTTCCAAAGGCTATAGTGTGCCGTTATTTCGAACTAAATTTTTTTTTAACTTGTGGTGTATTTATTTCGACGTTGAAGAAGAAAGTTTACATTTTTTTTTTGGTTTTGAGTACGATTTATTATTTATAGATTTCATACGTAAACTTTTTTTTGAAACTAATCTACAGAACATCCTAACAGGTCGATTGACAGATTTATAATGTTTTAATCATTGTTATTCATATAACTACTAATTTACCATTGAATTTGTTCTAAGTCGGGATAAAAAAAAATGTTTTATTAGAACACCGTTTTAGATTAAATACCTTCTTAGTTAATTTGGTAAATCGATCTAATATAAGTATGATTCATTTATATCTTTGCACAACAAAATTTGTGTGACTATTATTGTGTTATTTGATTTGATTTTTTTTTTTGTGGGTCAATAAAAAAATCGCAGAATTGTGCCGTTAACTTTTTGTTGAGATTATGCTACATAACATTTAAACTGGTTAATTGGAAAATTTGTAATGTGAAAAAATAATTTTTAATCAATTACTATAGTACTAATTCCAACATTAAGCGTGGTATACTTTATTATAATTTAGTGACGACTACATTGCTTTTACGATTATTTATTTAACATTTTAGACGGTCGAGGTTTTCGCAGTTATGAGGGTGAGTATTATTTCCAACATATAACGTGTCTAACGTAAAACTAAACATTTTAAAACCAATACCTCTTCAGCCCCGCATCTAAGCAAAAAAAAATCGAATTAAACTGTTATATTTTATTATAATTTAGTGACGGCTACATTGTTTATAAGATTATTTTATTGATATTTCAGCAGGTGAAAGCTCTCAAGGTGCTGATAGACAAGGTGGTGATGCTAAGGGTGCTGATGGCATCGGGGGCGTTTACCCGAACGTAGAAGAAGAAGATGTTGACTATGAAGTAAATGAAGAAGAAGATGTTGATGAAGTACCACTAAACGAAGGTAGGCCAATAAGCGAAAATAGCGATGATTAAGGCTATGACGAAGTTAAGATTTATAATAACAGTGGAACAAATTCAATCAGATTCAAAAAGCTATAGCATAGCGTCATTTAAAACTAAACATTTTAGCTTCGATGCAAAGCGAGAAGGTATTGGTTTTACTCTGATGTGGGCTTTTTTTTTCGCTGTATACACTGTAACTTTTTTAATACTTGACCAATTCCTTCGAATAGCAACTCTATAAATCACAAATTTTGTCTAGTTTGTACTTTGGGGGGGGGGGGGTAAAAGTTGAAAAAAATTAATTATTCACAGACGAAAGTTGAAAAAACAAAAAAAAAACCGTACGAGTTTTTAAGTTAGAACTTTTAATGGCTATAATTTCGAGAAAAAGAGTCGGATCGAGTTGAAATGTATAAGAAATAATTATTTGGTATGCCCGCACACGTCAGTTGTGTCAAACTTAAACTATACCCATTTCCCGACCCCCTAGGGGGGTACAAGTTTTTTTGTTTTTCGGGGTTTTTAGCGGTAATTTTAAAACTTTTGGGTTGAAAATTTGCCAGTAGTTGGAACTCATATGTACCCATAACACATTAAACGGGAAAAAAATTCGGCACTACAGTTTTTTTTTAATTGCCGGGAAACTGTGTTTTCGCAGATTTCGTATATTTTAACAAAAACACCTAAAATCTTTAAAAAAAATTGATCAAATCATTAAAACAATTTTATGTATATCTATGCAGAATGATACTATTAGGTTTTGTGCTCAAGTACCACTTTTTACTTAAAGTTTACACAAATTCAATTTTTTTTTTTTTTTTAACTAAAAACCCGGTGTACCAGATGGGAGAAACTAACAGCCACTAACAACTATCAGTTGGTAACGTCTATCCGTGTTAGATTAGGTTAGGGCCCAATGATCGGTATCATAATATTGTGTTTATTACATGATATCACAGACGACTAAATCGTGTAACTGATTATAGTAGACACTCGATTTATTGGGAAAAAAACCTATCCGTGTACTTATTAAGACACTTAATGATTCTGATACGACAAAACCACTGTCGTTATTCTCGTTATTTTATAGCCTTCGTTATATAACCTTACCGAAGGTCAACTATGAGTATATAAGGTCCAACTACCAGCAAATTATGAAGATGACTGTTGTTTTTTGGATTCAGATTAAGTGTTGGGTTTTATGCAGTATACCGCCTCAAAATGTATTTTTTATTACACAATTTTTTTAAAGGAAAACTAATGTTTTGTATATTGTTATACTGTTATTCATTTAAGGAGATTCACGCTTGATTGTTTAAATTGTCTAATATTAGATTATCTGCTTCGTGCTAATTTTAATTTTTTAGTTTATCAACTTGTAGCTCTAATTTTGTATAAAATATTTCATTATTTTATTACTATATACTATTACTATTAAGATAAATTTTAATAATAATTAAGTCATAAATGATAATACTTTATTTTATGACTAGATCAAATCTCGTGAACATTTAACATCATATGTGTTATTTGGTCCACTACGTTTTTGCAAAAAAAAAAAAAAAACCAGTACAGTGGGGTCGGTGCATAGTGGGGACGGAACATAGTTGGGTCGGGGCATATTGGGGACGGGGAGGTCACAGGTTTACAGGAATTTTTAAATCTGAAAGTGATAAAATCACTTTCGAAAAAAACGCTTCGATGCAAATCAGTAGTTAGTATTTTCAAGCCAGTACAGTCCAAACCAAGCACAGTATAAACCAGCAAAGTTAGAAAGTTTTAAATGAAGGTTCTGTATTTACAAATGAGCATCAAAGCGTTTATTTGAAAGCGATTTTATTCAATTTTATCACTTTTATTTATAATAATTCTTGTAGACCTGTGACCTCTCCGTTTCCTCATTGCTTTGATTACATTATGCCTATACTCTACTGTACTAGTCCTCTTGGATAAAATCACTTTCAAATTAACGCTTTGATGCTCATTTGTAAATACAGAACCTTCATTTAAAACTTTCTAACTTTGCTGGTTTATACTGTGCTTGGTTTGGACTGTACTGGCTTGAAAATACTAACTACCGATTTGCATCGAAGCGTTTTTTCGAAAGTGATTTTATCACTTTCAGATTTAAAAATTCCTGTAAACCTGTGACCTCCCCGTCCCCAATATGCCCCGACCCAACTATGTTCCGTCCCCACTATGCACCGACCCCACTGTACTGTTTTTTTTTACATTCGTAGTGTATTTTTCTCGAATTTTAAGAGGAAAGGTTACATTTTCATTCTCGTATTTGTTTGGGGGGGGGGGGGTCAATAAAAAAATGGCAGAATTGTGTCGTTAACCTTTTGTTGAGGTCAATTTGCATAATATTTAATCTGGTTGAGTGGAAAAATTTTAATGTGACGAAACAACAACTAATAAATTACTATAGTACTATTTCTAACATAATATAACGTGTCTAACGTAAAAACAAAACATTTAAAAACCAATTACTCCTCAGCCCCGCAGCTAAGCTAAAAATAATTGAATAAACTGGTATATTTTATTATAATTTAGTGACGACTATATTGCTTATAAGATTGTTTTATTAAAATTTTAGACATTTTAGACAACATTTTAGACAGTGAAGATTTTGTTGGTAATGATGGTGAGTACTATTTCCAACATAATATATTGTGTCTAACGTAAAACAAAACATTTTAAAACCAATATCTCCGCAGCCTCGCATCTAATCTAAAAATAATTAAATTAAACTGATATAATTTTATAAATATTGTGACGGCTATATTTTTTATAAGATTATTTTATTATCATTTTAGACGGTGAAGATTTTTTCGGTAATGATGGTGAGTACTATTTCCAACATATAACGTGTCTAACGCAAAACAAAACATTTTAAAACCAATACCTCCTCAGCCTTGCATCTAAGCTAAAAATAATTGAATAAACTGGTATATTTTATTTTAACTTATTGTTAGTGTCGACTACATTGTTTATAAGATTATTGTATTAACATTTTAGACGGTGAAGATTTTTTCGGTAATGGTGGTGAGTACTATTTCCAACATATAACGTGTCTAACGCAAAACAAAACATTTTAAAACCAATACCTCATCAGCCTTGCATTTAACCTAAAAATAATTGAATAAACTGGTATATTTTATTAAAATTTAGTGATGACTAAATTGATTATAAGATTATTGTATTAACATTTTAGACGATGAAGATTTTTTCGGTAATAATGGTAAGTACTATTTCCAACATATAACGTGTCTAACGCAAAACAAAACATTTTAAAACCAATACCTCATCAGCCTTGCATTTAACCTAAGAATAATTGAATAAACTGGTATATTTTATTAAAATTTAGTGACGACTAAATTGATTATGAGATTATTGTATTAACATTTTAGACGGTGAAGATTTTTTCGGTAATAATGGTAAGTACTATTTCCAACATATAACGGGTCTAACGCAAAACAAAACATTTTAAAACAAAGACCTCCGCAGCCTTGCATCTAAGCTAAAAATTGAATAAACTGGTATATTTTATTATAACTTAGTGTCGACTACATTGTTTATATGATTATTGTATTAACATTTTAGACGGTGAAGATTTTTTCGGTAATAAAGGTGAGTACTATTTCCAACATATAACGGGTCTAACGCAAAACAAAACATTTTAAAACAAAGACCTCCGCAGCCTTGCATCTAAGCTACAAATTGAATAAACTAGTATATTTTATTATAACTTAGTGTCGACTACATTGTTTATATGATTATTGTATTAACATTTTAGACGGTGAAGATTTTTTCGGTGATAATGGTGAGTACTATTTCCAACATATAACGTGTCTAACGCAAAACAAAACATTTTAAACAAATACCTCCGCAGCCTTGCATCTAAGCTAAAAATTGAATAAACTGGTATATTTTATTATAACTTAGTATCGACTACATTGTTTATATGATTATTGTATTAACATTTTAGACGGTGAAGATTTTTTCGGTGATAATGCTCAAGGTGGTGACGGTATCGGGAGTGACTCGGGATTCTAAAAGAAGAATTCGATGCACGACACAATTGTGTATAATAGGAGACTTCACGTGTTAATTGTTCATTAAGCTACAATTCTATAATAAAAAATAAACATTAATTGTATCTAAATTAAAAATTACAAACTGATTATATAAAATAAAAATACAAATTATAACTGTCATAAAAAATTTGAAACTTTTTTTAACTAAAAAATACCCCCCCCTCCCACAAAAAAAATGGGAAATTTAAATTTTGAACGTAGTCAATTTCTCGGTTGCTATGTGTGAGTCAATCGACAGTCAGTTTTTAGTGGAGTATTAATAGGGGGATATAGGAGATAATCCTTTTATTTTTTGTGGATAAAGTTATCCTCAATATAATATCACTTTTATGTATAATATGTGTTTTCTAACCATTCATAATGCGGTAATGAGTAATCGTATTTCTTGCCTAAGTAGGCCAGCTTTTCCGATTAGGTGTCTTTTGTATTTTTCTTTGAATTATTTTTCATGATGAAATGATAATAAGAAACCCGATCATAGAATATAAGATATCCTATGACACACCATAATAAATGACTATAATTGTATACAAGTAAATAATATTAAAATGCTACTACTATAATAGTACTATTTGTACATAATTGTAAATTGTATAACGTTCATTAAATAGGAGCAAGTACAGTCATAAGTTTCGGGGACACTCTAAAAATAATATATGTACAGGTTAATTTTGGATGGGCCACTCGATATCTCATAGAATTTAATAAGACATTTTTTTTTTGTTTTTATCCCCTTTTCAACTTAGTTTTTTTAATAAAAACTTTTAAAACTTTTACGATAACACATATACTTCATTACCTTTTAAAATTAAGAATAATGTACTAACATTTTTGAATGGTTGATAACCAGTTTTGGACAAATATTTTAAAAGCTATAAGAGTTTAAAAGTTAGGATGGGAGACAATGTGCGGATTTCCCATCATTCAATGTGCGTGAAGTTAAAAATAATACCACACTTCTCTAAACTTGAAATTTCAATAACTTCAAAAATAGTTTGCCGAAACTTGTTATCAACCAGCAATCAAAATATTCAGTACATTATTCTCGATTTAAAAAGTCAATAAAATGTATACGTTACCGTTTAAAGTTAAAAATTTGCTATTAAAAAAAACTGAGTTGGGAGGTGGGTAAAAACCAAAAGAATTGGGAAAAATTAAGATCACATTATACCTACAGAAACATTTTATAGAATATATTTTATACCATTACGGATATCTTTTTTTATCATATACGACGTATATTTCTATGAATGAAAACACATGTTATTAAAAGACGTGACAATTTCTTTTATTTTGTAACATTTTTTTTTCGCAATATTAAATCAAGTTATCTGAACACAATTTACCGTCTTTTCAAATTACTGCGCCTCCAACTTTCTATAGAATATAGTACAAATGTCTATTAAAACGTACTTTGCATGAAAGCATCTAAAAAAGAATAGGTATCGCAAAGAATTGTGTTGAAAGGCGAATAATTGTACACGCATCAGACAAACGAGCAAATTTATATGCCTACAATGTTAAAAACAAATTATCGCTAATTAGTATAAATACTATGAGGGATTGAAGTTTTATGACCATCTGCTTGCAAGTTCATTCCACCCCTGCAGCTAAGGTCTTAAGCTAACAGCCAGACAGACCCTTAGGACTCTTTAAGAATTCATTTGTATATTATTTGCAATTAGTTGTAGGTAGCCGGAGTTCAAAAAAACATGTCTCTTCTGCCTTGTTAACTCTTGTTGACGAATTATTGCCACTACTCCATAATCGGCACGAGTAACTTTATTCACGCTCACTTGGAGTATATTATACATTATGCAAATTGATACTGAAATGGTACTGATCCCGTCTCCATTAAATAGTTTGAAAAATAATCGACGACATCAATACCGTATCACCTTACAAGAATTCGTTATAAATTCTGGGAATGTAAGTGAATATATTATACCAATTTATATTTCAAACATTAACCCATGTAAATATGTACTACTAATATCAAATATTGAAAACAAGTTACTATCATCCATAAATTGGTCAGATATTATAAAAATGTCAAAAAGCAAAAAGAGTATTTAAAATAATAATTTATATAACCATTTTGTTTACATTTTAGTATTATAATATTATTTATGTATCGTGATAATATATCTTTGTTTATAATAGCAATTAATAAACTCATAAATATAATATATGAATTAAGCCGATAGTTAATATATTTTTTGCCCAAAATATTGCTTGACCGAAATTATTTTGGGATTTCTGAATTAAGGCAAGTACTAATGGTTGTAACAACTCCTTTTTATCAATACATTATTTTAAATATTGAAGCATGATTATTAAAGTTAGCATCAAATTAAATGGTGTACAATTGTTCCCCACATAAACATATATTTTACTGTAGTTGGTTTAAGAAAAAGAAATTTATAATATTACTTTCTCGACTAAAAAAAATGTTTAGCAGCGTCAAATTAATTTTGCCTGTGTGTGGCATATTGTATTCTATTCGTTAAGCAAGTAGCACGGGACACTCGCGTTTTTAGTAGGTAAATTATTACCTAATCTGACAGACCAGGCTAGACTTACACTAAATAGCTGTACAAAGCTTGGACAATATTTTTTCCAAATTAGGTATCATGAACTCTGATCTCATTAGATATAGGTACCATGTATTAGAACGACGAATATAATTTGCATTTTTGCTTAGGCACACCATAGTTTGAAAATCGCACAAAATACCCATGTGTACTCAGATGTTTCCAATGGTACCGAAGGTTCCTTGGATAAAAACAACTATCAGTGAACTTTACATAGTCAACGCACACAAAGCAACCGTTTATTCAAAACTGTATACTTTGTGTTAGAATATGATATTCTAACAATATAACAGGGGATTTTTAGCGTAGCGAGAATTCTAGTGAACTCACTCTCAAAGAAAAACTCTTTGTACTGACAAATTCTAAAATATCCTAAAATACCCAAAAAAGAAACAAACAGATTACAAATACATAATAAAAAGTTGTTATCTTACACCATTGTATACAAACAAAAAGTAATTTGAAATCTCTAACAAATTAAAATTGTTAGTTGTTAACCATTTGTGCTATAGTAGTAAGCTATTTAGCTACAATGTTAAGTAGAAAGCTGATTCTAAATATAATATTTCTTAATACAGAAATTTAAAATATTTTTAAAAAAAAATAACAATTAACTGTTAAACATTTAAAATATTATCAAATCATCAAAATCACTAAATTCAATAAGCAGTGAAGTATTTTTTTTTGTCCCTTACAAGTACCATTTGTGTACGATTTCCTGACTAAAAAATCGATAAAAAATTTAACGCTCTAAGCAAATACAAATTTTTTTCTTAAAATAATTTCACACGTCAAGTAAGTATGAAAAAAATAATGTTCATAAGATTATTAAACATTACTCATGCGTAATTATAGACAGTTCTACTGTCTCAAAAACAGTAAAATTGCTAAGTATAGTCGAATTGAATAGTATACTATAACAGTTGAATATGATGCATATTAAAACTATTCTTTTGCTTAGTCTGGCCGTGATGTAAGTATTTTTTCTATTTACTTTTTAAAAACATTTAGAAATATTTCATCGAATCTAGAGTTTTCGTGTATTAATTTATGTTTTAAAAATAAATATCTGCTTTTCAGATGTAGTGGCGGTAATAATCTGCGAAGAAAAGGTAACTGTTTAATAAAAGATTTGATACTAAAACGAATATTATACTTAAAAATAATTATTTAAAAATGTAAAACAAATTAAAAAAATTAAAATGGTATGAACTATTAATATAACATTGAATATAACATTATTTCAAAATGAATATTATAGGTATTATTAACTTTTTCAATGATGATATATTTAATTGTATCCATGATTAATTTTTTCAATATATTTTTAATCATTGCCATTCATAGTTAATAATTTTTCTTTGTAATACTCGATTGATTTGGAAATGTTATTAATTTTTATTAACAAAAAAAAACCACCAGATAAAAATGTTTTATTCATAAGTTTAATATCTTTATTTATTTAAAAAAAAAATTGCTATGTTAGAAAAAAAAGTTATTCGTAGTCTTTTGGTTTTTTATTCTAATATTCATTGAAAAATTAGGCAAACCCTTAAATAAATGTTATAAATGCATAGATTTTTTAAGTTTTTTAGTTTTTTAATATCAATATGTTGTTTTGTAAATAAAAAATTTTTTAGGTCACTAAAAATGTTATTATCGTGTAACTACAAAAAAGTTAATTTTTTTACATGACTAATTTAAAGAGTTCAAATTAATTTTTATCCAATTTTATTTTTTATTATGATCAAAATATAATGATTAAAAAATGAACTTATGTGTTTAACTTAAATGAACCATTCCCAACTCTGCATGTCGGTAAATTTTTTTCAGAATAATCTACTGAAATTTTGAACTGGTTGATTGGGCATATTATAATGTTAACGCGAAAAAAAATACTAAATTAACAAAACATTTTTTTAAAAATATTAACTGTTCAATTCTTTATCCTGTATATAATAAAAGTATTGAAACCAAATGAAAATGATTAATATAATATGAATTACTTAATAGAACAAGCCAAAAATTTGATATTGCATTGTTGCGTCTGTTATCCGGGATAAGGAGTTATTTTAATTTTTCCTAATTAAAAAAAAAAGTCTTGCTATGAGTTTTTTTTTTTAAAAAAAAGGCCAAGATCCATGCTATCCATCTTTTTGAGTGAAAGTCTTTTTCTTAATATTTTAAGAACCTGTCAAATATAACTATTATTCATTTATATATAACACATAAAAAAATGTGTGCGATTTATTGTGTTTTTTTGATTTTTTTTTTTTGGGGGGGGAGGGTCAATGAAAAAATCGCAGAATTATTCCGTAACTTTTTGTTAAGATTATTCTACATAACATTTAAGCTGGTTGATCGTAAAATTTGTTATGTGAAAAAAAAGTAAAAACAACTAATAAGTTACTTTAGTACTATTGCAAACATATAACGTGTCTAACGTAAAACAAATACCTACTCAGCCCCGCATTTAAGCTAAA